GGGGAGCAGGGACACGAGAGGGGAGCAGGGACACGAGAGGGGGGGCAGGGACACAGGGGGAGGGCACGGGCACCGAGGGGTTGATGGACACGAGGGGGGCACGGGCATGGAGGTGGCATGGGCATGGAGAGGGGGGCACGGGCACCGGGGGGACACGGACATGGAGATGGAGGGGGCTTGGACATGGAGAGGGGCACAGGCGGGTCATGGCCACGGCGGTGACACGCGGGAGGGTGACACGGGAGGTGACACACAGCGACCACCCCTCCCCGCACCAGGGTGTGGCTCATCATGGAGGGGAAACTGAGGCACAGCGAGACCCACCGGGAAGCTCCATCCCACCCTTTTATTCCACTCCTCCCACCCACCCCTTCATCCCCCTCCTCCAGCCCACCCCTTTATCCCACCCTTTCCGGGGGCCGCGTCCCGCCCCCCCCCCACCTCCCAGAGATGCTCTCAAGAAAGGCCGGCAATGGTGCGGTTACAAACAGCGGGAATTTTATTTAAAAAAACAACCGTCACAACCGTTCACAGCGTTACAGACGGAGGGGGGGAAAGGGGCGCGTTAAACAACCGGTTTTATTTTGGGGAGGGGAAGAAAGAACTCGTCACGCTACCGCTGAACTTGGTTTTAATGTTTCTCCACAAACGGTGAAAAATACTAAAGTACAGACAAGGAGGACTCATAATGTTGTGGCCAACATTATAAATATGGAATTATAAATTTAAAAGATTTTTTTTTTTCTGGTTTAAAAAATAAATCTGGTAGTAAATGAGGCTCTGGGGGGGCGGCGTTAGTAGGGCCGGTCTCTGCGATCCTGGCGGTGCTCGCCCCTGTGGGCACGGAGGGGGAGGGCACGGGTCAGTCCTGGGGTCCAGGAGCCCTCCCCGGGCTGGGGGGGGGCTCCTCAAACCCCCACCCACTCACCCTGACACCCACTTACCCACCCCACTACCCACTTGCCCACCTACTCGGCCCCCCACCTACTTGCCCTCCTACCCACTCGCCCCCACCCCTTCACTCCCCAACCTGCTCATCCTGCCACCCATTCCTCCACCCATCCACTCACTCCCCCACCCACTTGCCCCCCACCTGCTTATCCTCCCCATTAACCCCCTTACCCACTTGTCCTCCCACCTATTAGCCCCCTCCTCATTTGTCCCACCACCCACTAACCCCCCACCCAGCCCCTCATCACCCCCTCACGGGGGTCCCAGTGTCACCCACACCCTTTCCCCATCAGGGTCTCCCCCTCCCCATGTCCCCCCAACACTCTGCCCCCCCCGCCATCCATACTTGTCCATCTTTCCCGGCCCTCCACGCCGTCCTCTGCCTCCTCCTCCCATCTGCTCCATGAGGGGTCCGGGGGGTCCCCCGGGGCCTCCTCCTCCTCCTCCTCTCCGGCCTCCTCCTCCGTAGCCTCCTCGGTCCATCCCGCGGCCTCCTCGGAACCCGCCTCTGTCTCCGCCGCGGCCGCCTCGGAACATCCCCCCGGGGCCCCCTCGGTCCATGAGGCCCCCGCCGCGCCCACCGCGCATCCCCCCGGGGCCGCCCCGGCCGCGCTCACCGCCTGGGGGGGAGGAGAGACCCTCAGAGTGACCCCAGGGCAGCACATCCCGCTCCGGGTGTACCCTACCCACGATCCCGGGACAGCCAGCTCTGCCACGAGCAGCGGGAGAAGGCCCAGGAGATGCTGGGAACCCTGAGGGGATTCAGGGAGCGCAGCGTCCACCCCTCACCCAGCTCCTCCTGAGCCCGGGGGAGCTGCAGCTCCTTAGGGCCCTAACGAGGTGGGAGCAGCCCCCCAGATCCCAGAGGAACTGTGATCCCAGCCTCCACGTCACGGCTCACGGAGCAGTGAAGGCCTGGCAGCTCCAGGGGCTGACCCAGCTAATCCCCGAGGAGCCCAAGGCCAGGCCTGGGGTGTCCCACTGGGAAGTGAAACCGTGAGCCCCCCACACGTACCTGGAGGGGGGAAGGGGGGCGGGAGGAACCCCTCGGGTTTGGGCGCCTTGCACTGGTTACACTCCGTTCTCCAGGCGAAGTTCTGGTTTCCACAGCCCCTGGGTACAAACACCAGTCAGCCCAGAGCAGGATGACATTCCTGCTGGGAGAATGCCAGGAGGCACCACGAGCAGGGTGGAGAGCAGGACCTGGGGCTCATCTCCTGGCCAGGTTCCCCCAGTGGGGTGAGGTCCAGCTGCCTGTTCACCCACAGCCCCCGCAGTGACCCCATCTCTCCCTCCCTGACCCAGGCAGGAGGAAGGAGCTTCCTGGGAAGGCCCAGCAAGAGATTCTGGGAAAGGCCTCCTGGTCCTGTCAGCCCCTGGGACGAAGGGGACCCGGGGTACTCACGGGTTGGGGCACTGCCAGTCCCCGGCGCGGTGCTGAACGCTCCCTCCGGAGGGGTTTCCCCGGGACCCCCGTGGGCCTCTCGAGGAGAAGCCACCCCTGTCTCCACCTCTTCCACCCATCCTGCCCATGGGGCCGCTGGGGCCACTGGGCCCCCCTGGGCCACCAGGACCCCCCGGACCTGTGGAAGGAGCCCCGTTAGTGCCAGAGCCACGGGTGGGGGGGGGGACAGGGAGCAGCTCCGGGGGGTCCCAGCCAGTACCTCCTCGGAGAGGGGGAGGCATTCCCCGCTGCTCCCGGGGTGGCATCCCGCCCCTCAGGCTGTTCATGGGGCCCTTCTTCCGTGCCAGGGTCACCTTCAGCTTGCTGCCCTGGAAATCCTTCCCTAGGAGGGACACAAGGACAGGACATCAGTGCACAACTGCACCCTGGCGCTTCCTACAGGGAATTCCATCCCAAACCCCCTCCCACACTCACCATCAAACCATTCCACGGCTGTTTTGGCAGTAGACGGGTCATCGTAGGACACGGTGGCGTCACCTTTGGGCTTGCCAGTCTCTTTGTCGATGTACAGGTTTATCATGGGTTGCCCCGTCCTCTTGTTCATCTAAGGGACAGTGGGATGTCACCTGGAGTCCCCTCTCCCAGCAGGGATTTACTCCCTGTTCTGCTTCCCAGACGAGCAAGGCTCGTTCTGAGGACTCCGGGGCAGAAGAAAGGGTCCCTTGGGCCTACCACGGGTGACAGGGACTGCCCAGACACCCCAAAAACGAAGGAACGGGCCCAAAACAGCGCTGCCAGGCCCAACAGGCCTCTCCCAGGGAGTTGATGGGCTGGAAGGGTGTGAGCAATGGGCAGGGAGGAGGAGGAGGAGGAGGAGGAGGAGGGTGGTCCCTCTGCCCTGCCATCAGGGGTCACAGGTGTCCCCTCACCTTGACAACACCGCACTGTTTGAAGAAATCTGCCAGATCCTCCAGGGTCACATTATCGTTGAGTCCCTGCACATACACTGCAGTGCTGTCTGAGTCCTCCTCCGGCTCCATGGGGGGGCCTAGGAGACAATTCCCAGGGTCAGTGCAGGGAGAGGAAGGGCAGGGATACCCCAGGGCCGAGTTCTTTCCATCCCGTCATTCCCAGCTGCGGCTCCGCTCCCAGTGAGCGACAGGAAACCCTGGACC